CTCATCGTGCTCGACAAGCGCCGGCTCCTCGCGGGCCGCCATGGCAACTACGTGCGATCTGTTTACTTGACGACCAAGTACCTCGCGCGGGAGGCAGGCGACCGCCGCGCATTAGCAAAGGACGCGGCGACGACCCGCCGCCAACTGCACTTGGACGCGATCGCAGAACGCACGCGGTACCGATTGGTCTAGTCGCCAATATCAAATGCAATGCTATGGCGTAGACGGCACAACCTCAGCGTCCACTTCCGGTCGACGTGCGCGCGGCGGCTCGTGGACGCGCAGTGGTTGCACACGGCACTGGCCTCGGCATCCGCCCTGGACGCGGCAGCGGGCGTGCGGGCCGCGCTCAACGGCTCGCGTGTCGATGCGTTGCAGGCCGCCGCCGCGCGCCGCGCGCACGTGGCCCGCCAGCGCCAGCGCGAGACCACGTTGCGGTGCCGCGTGGTGGCCACGACCCTCGACGTGCGGCTCCGGGCCGCGTCTGCCCGCCGGATGGCGTTTCTCGCAGACCGGACACGTCGCATTGCCGAGCGTCGCGAGCTCCTGCGCGCCCGCAAGTGGACCGCGGCGCACAACATGCGGCGGTTCGTCGCGTGGGCGCTCAAGGACAAGCTGGCGCAAGCAACCAAGCGGCGCGAGGCATGGCTCGAGCGCCGCCGCGCTTCGTGCGCCGCGCGCAACTGGTATGCCCGTGTCGTATGCCACCGCCACGCCGACGTTCTTACCGAGCGCGTCGCATGCCTTCAGTTGTGCAGCAGCGAGAAGCACGCGGCTGCCGCGCGACGGCGACGGGACCAGCAGTGCACCATCTTTTGTCAACTCATTGGTCTTCGCCACGAACGCGTCGCGCACGTGCTCGCGACGCAGGCGCAGTACGTTGCGCGGACCGCCGGGCGCAAGGTGATGCTCGCCGCGCTCCGGGTCGCCGAGCTGCAACATGCGCAAGCCCAGGCGGCGCATGCGCGCTGGCTCCATACACAGCGCGTGCGCGAGCGGCGGGACCATACAGCGCAGTTTCGTGCCCAGTGCCTTCGGTCGCGCTCGTTTGTGCGGCTTCGGTCGGCCGAGATCCGTCGGGCGCTGCATCTGGCGGCGATCCGCGCCGGCGCCGACGAAGCGGCTGCGAAGCGTGACGCCGCGCGCCTCCGCGTGCAGTTTGCCACCGAGTCGCTTCGGGCGCATCTTGAGTTTCGTCTTTTGCGCGCCGACGAGAAGCGTCTTTTATATATGGCCGACAAGGTCGCGGCCGCCATTTTCTTTGCCGCCCAAGGCGAGATTGTGCGTCGGCGGCTCGCGAGCAGGGAAGAGGCGCGTCGACTGACGTACGCGTACGGCATGGAGAGCGCAGGCTTGCGCACATCGATTGCTCGGACGCAGCGCGCGCGGTCGCACCTCCTCGCACGCGCACTCGTCGCCGGGCGGCAGGTACGAAATTGCACTCTGCCACATTGAAAGATTGAAACCTTGATCATTTGCATGTAGAAATACCTCGCCGACGCGCGGGCCGAGCGCGGGTTCGTCGCAGCCATGCGCCATGGAAACGCTGCCGACCGTCGAGACGACGTGCGCGAGGCCAAGCAAGAGACGGCGCGACGCACGATCCAGCGCGTGACGTTTGCGCGCCTTGAGCGGCAGTCGACGGACGTTGTCGACGCGGCCGTCAAGACAGCGATGGCAGCGACGATCGCGCTCCACGCCGAACGGCGGCGCGTGGCACTACTCCAAGCGCGGGCAGTTGGCGCGCGGGCGCAGAGTCGACGGGCCCGTGATGTGGCGCGGGTCCAAAAGCTCGCGCGCCGCATCGAAGCGCTCGCGCTCCGCGAGCAGAGCCAGCAGCGCCTTGACGAGAGTGCCAAGCGGCGAGAAATGCTCTTGGCCCAACGCAAGCTCGGGCTGAGCGCGAGCCAGCTCCAGCCGTTTGCAGGCCTCGTCGTCGTTGGCACCGCCATCCCGCTGCCCTACTCGGCATGAGCTTGTCCTGCCGCGCGATGTATACTTGGTATATAGGCCCCAACGGTGTTCTTCTGTATGCGTGTAAATAAGATGCATGTTCTTTTCGGTTCCACCCTTGGAAGGGTCGACGCACCGTGCTCCCGAGGTAGAGATGCTTGTAGGAAAAGTGGACATTGGCTGTCGAAGGCTGTAGTGATTGAAAGCACCCCGGAGCTGGAAGACATCGAGGACGACATCGAAGACGACACGGTGTTGAC